AATTATGTCTTAATTCTTAGTTTTAGTAAATAAATTCAATAATTTTTTTATTGTAAAATTTAAATTTAAATTTATTTTTTATAATATTAACCATTATAAATTAAGATTGATCATCCCATAATCTTTTTGGTTTGGAGGACATTCATTATTAAATGTGTATATATATTTTATTACTTATGTGTTAGATGGCTGGTAATACTATTATTTTATATTAACAGTTTTTTGGTTTTAACTAAATTATATACTAATTTATTTCTTTCCCGGTTGCAAAAAAGGGGAATGGTGTAAATTTCTTTTTTTTTTTTTTCAATTCCTAAACAACATTACCGATTAAAGCTTTGTCGGTAAAATGTAAATTTTTTTTCCTTGGTAATTACCGATTGGAACTTTGTCAGTAAATTATATATAACCAATTAATTCTTGTAAATCGGCAATTCTTTTACAAATTTCTAAACCAACTTTTCGATTAATTCTTTGTCAGTAACTTACTGACATGAGCTGACCGGATGCAATAAACGAGGTAACACAAGGATGCAGTAAACGAGGTCTACAGCTAGAGACGTGAAGCTCGTCGGTAATTGACACCTTGACTTACGTGAAAAGCTCCGGTAGTATGGTTCCAATAGTTGTTTTGAGACATGTGTTTTGTTGGTGATTTGGACCAAATTACCAACGTAACTCCATCTCACATCGGTGAAGTAATTACTGAGGAAGCTAACACCGACAAGTGTATTACCGACAAAGTATAAGTTAGAAAATTTATTTACCGACAAGCTCCCTCCTGATTTCCGACATGATATTTCATCGGTAATTCTGTGTATTCTTGTAGTGGGTATGGCATTACCTTCATGACATCGTTGAAGATATCTATGCAACTCCCTGTGAAAGTAGTTGAATTAGTCTTCTGATCCCATGTCACCTTGACAAATTCATTAAATCCCTTTACAATGGCACTCCAATCTTCAACTTTCTCCCATTCATCGGAATCTCCTAGCCTTTAGGAATGGAATATGAATCTCTCGGCCATCTGATGGTTCCAAGATTGGCATTAGAAGTGGAGTCCAGTCTTTTTAACTAGTCCATCCTTTGACATCCAAAACCCAATCCCCTTTTCACCATTTCCATTTGCATTAAAAATCTGGAAAATTAAGGACTTTAGTTGCCCATTGACAAACCCAAGTTCTCCACTATTTCACAACAAAACCTACAGGAATCTATAGAAAGGTGGTTTTTTCTTCCCCCCCCCCCCCTTTTTTTTTCTTTTATGTGGTGTTCTCTCAAAATCACCCTCAGAGGTCCCTCAGGATCATTGAAGCTTAGATACCATGTTGGAATTTTGGTGATGAAAATGAGGGAGAAGGAGACACCCAAAGTTCCCTTTTTTGGTGAGGTAAAAACCCATTTTCTTCATTCATCTTTTGCCATTATATAGCAGATATCTTATAATACATCAACAATAATTTCCACCTAATACAATAACTTCTACTTAACACATTGATTGAGATGTAGAAGTTTGTTGCCATTTTGTGTAACTCTATGTTGTTGTACTTTGCTGCTACTGTGTTGTTGGTGTAGCTCTTCCTTCTTTTCATTTGCTGCCATTGTTGTAGCTTTGACACCACAACTCCAATAATAATGAAGCTTAGGCTTGTTGACATGGAGTTGTGGATGTGGATGATTTTAGGCAATTAATTGGTAATTAACTGCCAAATTAGGTTGTTGTTGTTGACATATCCATGTAGTTATGGCTAGTCTCATAAGTAGGGATTAGTTAGCAATGTGTAAGGGATATTCTCTTGTAATTGTAAGGCATTGATTGATAAATACAAAATTGCCCTCTTTCCGTTTCTCAATTCTCTTTTTTTCCCTCCTTGGGTCTTTTTCTTCCCTTGGATTCTCCCTTCTGGTTCTAATATTCTCCTTTCTAATTTATGATCCTATCCATTTCTCCCTAACTTAATCCTCCCACAAAGATAAAGGTTGGGAGATAACCTTTGGTGATATATATTAGTAAATGGTTAAGTGGTAGATCATGTTTTCCAATTAGTTGCCTTATAATGCAACTACTCAATTGATTTCAAACTATGTATGAATGAAAAATATGAGCTTACATACTCAAAAAAACCTAGCTAATTAATTTCACATTTTCTTCCATTGTTTTCATAGCTCAATCTGTGAGCTAGTGTATGCTCATTTTAATACATGTTCTTTGTGATAAAAAAAAAAAAGAATAATAATTGATACACCATTTGATTTAATATATTTTACAACATATTGATTAACAAATTATTAATTTTGAATTTAAATTTAAGGTAGAAAACTATGTAAATTTTAATAATTAAATCAATGGGTTTTGTTAGAAGTGTTGAATCAAAAGATGTACCCATCGTTTTTTGTACACACACACACACACAAATATATAGAGAGGTTAGTGTATGTCAGTCCTAACTCTCAAAAATAATTGAAGTCCCAACCTACATTTGGAAACTAAAATCTCATCCTATTAAATGTTGATATCTAAATTTGGAAACCCATTATATATTTTAATATAATCATTTTCTAAATCTAAATATCAACATTTAATATGATAATTTTTAAAATTTTGAATTTTTCATTAAATAAAACGATTTACTTTAAGGTTGGGGCTCCAATTATTTTTGAGAGTCAGAACTGATATTTATTTTTCCTATATATATATATATAGGACATTGATACATAAACCCTACTTTGTTACACATTGATGGTTTCCGTTACTTAATTTGTTACACATTAATGGTTCACCAAAAATGAGCTATTGCTCTGGATATAAAATTAGAATCTACAAACCTCCAAAAGAAAAATTGACCATTCAGAATATAAATCAATGTCTCTTGAACACTCAAACAAAATTTTAGCTCAATCTAATGGTAAACTTTTGTAGATCAGATAAAATGGTAAAACTGTGCATAGTACCAAAATTGTAGAAAAACATATCACAAAAAACGAGCTACAGTTCTGGGCATCAAATCAAACTTACAAAGCTCCAAACAAAAAAACTATTCATTTAAAATGTAGATCAATGTCTCTTGAACACCAGACAAAATTTCAATTCAATCCAATGGTGAACTTTTGTAGATCAGACAAAATGGCAAAGTTGCGCCAGTACCAAATTGAAAAAAGAATAGGTCACAAAAATGAGTTATTGTTTTGGGCACAAAATCAAAATTTACAAAGCTTCAAATAAAAAGCTAATCGTTCAGAATGTAAATCAATGTGTCTTGAACATCCAGACAAAATTTTAGCTTAATCCAATGGTGAACTTTTGCAAATTGGAAAAAATGGCAAAGCTGTGTGTAGTAGCAAAACTACAGAAATTTCTCCCGTTTTCTTTTCCTTCCTTTTTTGCTGATTGGCTTCACTCATATACACTCCATATCATCCCAAAAATGTGATTTATGTGTTTAAGGCCGAAATAGCGAGAGGGAGAAAGGAAAGGAGAGAGAAAAAGAAAGGCCTGGTGTATTTGGGGAGTTATGACAGAAGTGTGTAACAGATTAGTAATGAAGACCACTAGTGTGTAACAGAGTGTGTAACTTTGCAAACTATATGCATAATTTCCAATATATATATATATATATATGTATGTATGTATGTTCTTGTTTCAACAAGTGGCCCTTTTTGGTTCCATCCCACATTAACTTGATATTCTTCCTTGCAACAAATTAATAGTTGTTACTAATATTTCTCTTGCACAAATATATCTAAGACCACAACTCTCAAAGGTATGCAACACAAAATGCAAATCACAGTATGGTTATCTTAAGTTTAAAACAAGAACTGCAAGTTTTGTCTTAATTAGCCATAGGAGTTCATCTTTTGTATTCAAATCCAGTTAGTGGTTTTAAAGGATGCATGTAGTTTTAAAAAAGGGAGTTAAGAGCTGGGATGTGTAGGATGAGAAGGTGAAGAATTGTAAAATTTAAACAAAAATTACATCAAATCATATGCAACCAAAATATCACGTGCCTCAAATTGCACTTTTGTTAATGATAACTTGCATTTTCACATTAATGAATATAATTTTCTTTTCTCTTTTTTTTTTTTCTTTTTTTGGCTAGAATATAATCTTCTTCTCTATTTCTCACTTTATGGAGAGCAAATAATTTACTAAAAGGAAATTATAAGAGTATTGCACATCAATTGCTGAAAGTAGCAGTACACGTACTTGTTCATGAAGATTAAAATTCCACTCCATACTATTTATATTGGACTTGCAATGAACTTGACTTGTAATCACAAATAGAGAAAAGTAGGAGAAAAAAAAAACAAAATAAACAACACAGTGATAGCATAGGGGGATCGATATCATCTTCGTTGCTTCCTCTTATTCAATCTTTCACACCCCTCCCTTTGCCTTCTTGGGTACGAGATTCGGAATGTCTTCATAAACCATTCATGTTTTCTTGTAAAAGCAATGTTTCCAATGACAATACCAATGAGGAATCCACATCCATAACCTAGTAACACCAATTTCCAACTAAATTTAGCTAACAATCCAGAGTCTTCATTTCCTTTGGAGGTTGAAGATGGTGGAGGCAAATCCTTAGAGTTACAGCAGTCACATTTCCTTGACAATGGCATTCCACACAGTCCTGAGTTTCCATCAAAAGAGTCATTTTCAAATGTATCAAATTGTTGGCCTTGTGGGATGGGACCTGTCAAATGGTTGTGAGACACATTAAAGACTTCAAGAAAATTGAGTCGTGTTAGCTGTGTAGGAATTCTTCCAGTGAGTCTGTTTTGAGAAAGGTCAAGTGCTTCTAGATTTGTGAGATATCCCAAGGTTCTTGGGATTGGACCAACAAGGATGTTATTGGAAAGATTGAGCAGTTGAAGTCCCTTTAAGTTCCCAATTACTTCTGGAATTTCTCCCTCAAATTTGTTGCTAGAAAGATCCATGGCACTGAAAACCTCTAAGATCTTTGCATACTCCATCTTCCTTCCTTTGTTTGTTATTGTCATTGAGTAAGGAAATTGGTAAGGAATGATGATAAGGTTCAGCATGAAATAGTGGTTGTATGCACGCAAATATGTTGCGTTCTGCCCATCAAGATCAGTGATGGCATTCCATCTCACAAGGAAGTCTATTGGCAAAGTGCCAACAAATCCATTGTCTGAAAGGTCAATGATGCGGAGCTTAGGAAACAAGAAATCTGTCTTTGGAACTTTGATTGAAATTGTGCCATATAACCTATTTGAATGCAAAATGAGAATCCTCAATTTAGGAAGAGCTCCCAACCAGGAAGGGAAAGTATCTTTGATCTTGTTGTTTCCAAGATCAAGAAACTCCAACATTTTGCAGTTGCTTAGTGATCTTGGTAACCTCCCCTGTAAAATATTTTGTCCCATTTTAATTGCTTTGAGTTTGTTTCCACTTTCCCATGTTTCAGGCATAGGACCATCAAAGTTGTTTCCTTCCAAGTTTAAAACCAACATGGAGCTGAGTTTGCCAAAACATTGCGGTATCATTCCACTCAAATTGTTGTGAGACAAGTCAAGCACTTGGAGAGAAGTCATCTTGCAAAATTGAGATGGGATTTTTCCACTGAACATATTCCTAGATACTAAGTAGTAAAGGATGGATGGTGGAGGGATTGGTAGAGGACCTCTGAGAAAGTTAAAACTAAGGACCAGATATAAAAGACTAGTAGAAGGAAAAACAACAAAGGATTCTTCAAAACTTGTGAAATTGTTGTGAGAAAGATCTAAAATCCACAAACTTGCACTCATATTCATTATCCAACTAGGTATTTGGCCATGGATGTTGTTGGAAGCAAGGACTAGGACATTCAACTCACTTTGGTTTTGCAAAAATTCTGGAAACTCATTTAGATTACAAGATGCAAGACCTAGTCCCTTAAACTTTTGAATTGTTCTATTGGTGGTAGCTTTGATTACCAATGAGAAATTATTATGGGATAAACCCAATGACTTAAGGGATTTGAGTTCAAGAAACGTATCAAACTCAACAATACCACTTAAGTTATTGTAGCTAACAATGAATGTTTCAAGGTTTTTGAGTCTAGAAATTGAGCTTGGAAGAGATCCTTGTAGCATATTATACCCAAGATCCAAATATCTTAAATCTGTTAGGTTTGTAATCCAAGATGGAAAATGACCAGTAATTTGATTACCAAAAAGGTTTAGACTCTTGAGATGGATCAAGTTAGCAAAAGAAGAAGGGACCTCATTAAAAGTGAAATGATTTAGAGTAAGAAATACTTTAGTTAGTTGGGTGAGGTTTGAGAAGAAAGAAAAGTCTTCTCCATAGAAAGAATTATTTAAGAGGATCAAGACTTGGAGCTTGGTGAGATTACCTATTGAAGGTGGTACTAAGCTTGAGAAATCACAACTTCTGACATCTAAATATTCCAAAGAGCTAAGCATTCCTATTGAGACAGGTAACTCACCAGAAAAGGTTGTGTTTCCAACATCAAGTACTCTAAGTTGATTGTGAGAGTGAAATTTAGGAAAACTACCACTAAGTTCCCAATTGTTAACCAAATCAAGGACTTGAAGTTTAGGTAGCTGAAAAATGTCTCTGGAAAACTTTCCAAGCAATCCACAATGACCAAGATGGAGATATGTCAATGATGACATATTTACCAAGGCCTTAGGGATTGGAGAATTTATACCAACTAGAGAGAGGTCAAGCCATTCTAGCCTAGTTAGGTTTTGAGCGAGGCTATTCCAATCAGGCTTTTTGAGTTCCAACAATCCTTGATGTAAATAATTAAGATTGAAAGAAAGGTCAAGCTCAACTAACTTGGAGAGTTTTGAAATTCCCTGTGGTATTTGACCAGCAAAGAAAGAACGAGAGAGGTTGAGATAAGTTAACTTGGAAAGATTGCCCATTGCAGATGGTATCTTTGAGAAATTGAAGTCATTAAGTGCAAGGTTGAGGTATTGAAGGTGTCTAAGGTGGAAGAGGCTGCTACTGGAATTGATAGAACCAAAAAGACAACTACTACTGAGATCAAGGCCTATGACATGAAAAGTGTTTTGGTCACACCATATGCCCTCCCATGAGCAGCAATCAACCCCTTGAGATTTCCAAAGATCAATTTTAGGATAAGTAGATGCTTGCCTTTCAATGACAAAGCTGTCCTTGAATTGCATTAAAGCAAGATACTCATCCTTAAGACACAATTGTTGATGTGAGGATAGTTGAAAGAAAGAGATCACCAAGAAAACCAAACTTAAAAGAAAGAAGTGAGTGGAAGACGACGTAGCCATGATTTGTTTGGATATGTTGGTTTTGAACTTGTAGATACTTATGAAAGTGAAGAGCTTTTATAGACAATTATATTTAGTTTATCTGCTAAAGAAAAGGGCAAAAGCTTGGGCCTCGGTGACTTATTTTCTACTTTCTTCTAGGAAAATGGCATTGATTTCAACCCACGTGTTTGACACAAATTTTTTAAGCGTTAACCATCCCTCTCTACAACAAACCCTGTAACTTAGGGAATATTTAACTTAATTGCTAAGTGTTAAAGATGATCATGACTGTTCAATACCAATTCAACCTAGATGCCTTGAAAATATCTACATGCCTGCTCAATGCAGGAAGCTTGAAATCAATATGTTTCTCCCTAACTTAATCCTCCCACGAAGATAAAGATTATGAGATTACCTTTGGTGATATTAGATCATGGTTGGGTGGCAGATCATGGTCTCCAATGAATGTATTTCCATGAAATATGTGGTCAAAAAGTAATGATGTACTATTTGGGGTAGGTGGCTTATGAATGCAACCTGCATTCCAAACCCACCATGACCCGGTAGATCATGGTTAGGTGGCAGATCATGGTCTCCAATTAATGTATTTCCATGAAATATGTGGTCAAAAGGTAATGATGTAGTATTTGGGGTACGTGGCTTATTAATGCAACCTCATCAATGCGTTCCAAACCCACCATGACCCGGCATTCTTCCATGCATTCTTACGTTGTTTTTGGCTCCATCCCATTATGACCCGGCGTTCTTCCATGCAACAAATAAATAGTTACTAATATATCTCTTGCAAGTGTATCTAAGACTTTAACTTTCATAGGTATGCAACAGAAAATGCAAGCCACAGGATAGTTATCTTAAGTTCAATACAAGAACTGCAAGTTTTATCTTAATTAGCTGTAGGAGTTTATTGTTCATTGGATAAAGGAAGGGGTTTTCTAACCTGTATCCTTGTACTTTAAGAGTACAAGTTGTCTTTGTGCCTTAAGAATATAAGTTAAAGCTATAATTAATATATACACCTTTTTATTATAAATTTATATTAAAAATCTAAAAATTAACTTTTAATTTATTAACTATCCAATTAAATTCATTCATTTGGTATTAACACTAAAATTAATATTAATTTTTACATTTTTATATATGCATTTATGACAAAAAGTACTTTTGGGTTAGGAAAACCATAAAAAGAAATTTGGGTCTGCACGCTGCAGGAGATTTCTTTTGTGGAATGGCGTTCAAATCCAGTTAGAAGTGTTAAGGGATGCATGTAGTTTTCAAAAAGGAGTTAAGAGCTGGGATGTGTAAGGTGAGGAGGGGAAGACTTGTTTGTTGATGTGAGGCTTTTGTGATTAATTAAGCGATCATCTTTGTATTTTGGATGTAAGGTTTGGACTACCCTTGCACTTTCTTGCTGTAGGATGAGGGGAAGACTTTGTTGATGGTCTGCTAATTTTCATCTTCATAAAAAAAATAAAATAAAATAAAAAGACTAATTTTCATCACACATGTCTCAAATTGCACTTCCTTTCTTCTTCTTCTTTTTTTAATAATAAATTATATTTTCACATTAAAGAATACAATTTTCTTCTTTGGTTCCTGTTGTTGCTGAAAACCTTCAAGGCCTTCCTTGCTCAGATCTTCTCGTCCAATAAACTTGCAAAGCCCCGAGGGTGGTTCCCGAGGTAGACACTCCGATGCTTAAGTTAGCAATAGTCTACACTTAGAGCTTTTTAGAGAGAATGGAGTGTATTAGAGAGAATGGAGTATATTAGAGAGAAATACTAAAGGAGGAGTCCCCTACCTTTGAGGGGTGTGGGGGTATTTATAAATCCTTTGGGAATGCCGGATATGTGTTGCATTTCTGTTGGTCCCTTTGGATCTATTTGAGTGTATATGAGCTCCATAGTAACTTATACATGTACTCTTTTGTATTTAGGCCTCATGGGCCTTCACTATGTTTATGGGCTAGTTATATTACTATCCTTATAGTTCCCTTTTAATGGAAAGCAAATAATTTCCTTAAAGGAAGTTATTAGTATTCCATATCAGCTGTTGAAGTAGCAATATCAGTACTTATTCATATAGATTGAAATTCCACTCCATACTATACATTGGACTTGCACTAGACTTGTAATCATAAATAGAGAAAAGAAGGGGGAAAATATATACAATGAAATGAAAGGATTTGAGGGTAGATATCATCTTCACTTCTTCCTCATATTCAATCTTTCACACCCCCACCTTTGCCTTCTTGACTACCCGATTCGGAATGTCTTCAAAAATCATTTAGGCCTTCTTGTAAAAATAGTGTTTCCAATAACCACACATGATGTGATAAAATCACTCTAACAATTGTATTAGTCGTTCCAAATAATATAATGATGAGAAGAGTGTGGAACTCATGAGAATTATGATTAACTAAGTATTAAAATAATTAATTTAAATTTATTTAAACAACTAAAAAGAAAGAAACTTTAATTAAAAATAATAAAAAAATAACAATTAAAATAAAACTAATCAAGATATGAAATACTAAAGTATTGACTTCACTATAATCAATTAATATAAATTCTAGATTAATATGTTTTTAAAATCAATTTGTTAAGATTATTGCATGTAATAGCAGTTTTCCCTAAATTAATTAACTAGTTTCTCAAATCAAGTTAATTCTTCACTTATTTGTTAAATTAGTCATATCTCTATGTAATTTTAAACAAATTGGTGAGTATTAAATTCTATGGAAACCTTTAGCTTAAAAAGGGGGAGCTCCTAACTCTATTCTCTTCTTCTACTACCACATATGACGCTAATTATGTCTAACACACAGTTATATTATTATTAGTCTAGTTTACACAATTCTTTCTCAAATTTATACATAAATCACTAAATTAATTGAAAAGTGATTAGGTTATCAGGTTTTTAATTTACTAAGTTTAATAATATAAACTCATTATGTGAATAACTTTAATTAAAAAATGTAAAAATCACAAAATTTATATTAAATTTATTAGGCTACATCGTAGCATTATTAAAATAAATTAGTTCATAATAAAAATAATAAAATTTAAAATTATAATTATGAACATTCGAATATCAAATAATAGATAAAAAGAATTTAAAAAAATAAAATCTAATTGGAAGAAATTAAAATTCTTGATCTTCTATTATTTATGCATAATTTATTTTGATCTCCAAGAGTGTCCAAAATAAGACTTCCAAAGCCTCCAACACTCTCTCCAATTATGGACTTGGATGAATATTTATAAGATTTTGGAAAACCTAATTAGAATAGAAGTGGGATTCACACCAAAATAATAAATTAGGCATGGATTTTTTGAAAATCGCATAAGGGGTCAATACCTTCAACCAGGTGCTGACATCTTCTGTTAAGCGCATCCTAAAATCACCGGGTCGGATTTTTGGACTTCTAAGCAATTTTTGTTAATGATAAAATAACAGTTCTGATCCCTAACTTCTGAACTCCTCACAAATTGATCCACAACTTTCTGATCTTTTCAATTTGCTCCTAAAAATTATGATTTTTTTCAATTAAATTCTTTCTTACACAAATAATGAAAATTATGTAAAATCAAGTAAAATTTCATAAAACTCACCTTAATATTAATAATATCACGATAAAAATTTTACATTAATATGTATATAAATTTAGCTCATCAAATTCCTCCAAATTTAAGTTTTGCTTGTCCTCGAGTAAAATAAAAAAATAAATAAAAAGAAAATAAAATCTAACTCACTTTTATATCAATCACAATTGCACTTAGCATGTACTACAAGCCCTTAAACCCCTAGGTCATCACCCTAGTGGATGAGTTATGTCTCGTAAAGGTTTTCAACAGATCTACCCACAAAATCCCAATATAAGAATGTAATTACATGATATGAATGCAAAGAAATTTTAGGAATTAAAGTTCAATTAAATACAAAATCTCAAATATTCAAGAGTTTTTATATACTTACTTAAAGTCAAATACTCCATTTTATTCTTCACACCACTTGTCAAAAGATTTAGTTCATGAACACTTAGTGTGTGTGAAAATTCATAGTGAGAAGTCTCAAGTTTTAGAGCTTCACACTTTAGCACTTATTATTATTTTTCTTCTTCTTCATGAACACTTAGTGTGTGTGAAAATTCATAGTGAGAAGTCTCAAGTTTTAGAGCTTCACACTTTAGTACTTATTATTATTGTTCTTCTTCTTCTTCTTCTTCTTCTTCTTCTTCTTCTTCTTTTTCTTCTTCTTCATGAACACTTAGTGTGTGTGAAAATTCATAGTGAGAAGTCTCAAGTTTTAGAGCTTCACACTTTAGCACTTATTATTATTGTTCTTCTTCTTCTTCTTCTTCTTCTTCTTCTTCTCTCTCTCTCTCTCTCTCTCTCTCTCTCTCGTGTCAAGTTTCCTTTAACTTTCCAAGTTACCCATTTAATGAGATTCCTACCAATGGCTCCCAAACCAGTTCGCTTTAGGACATTAGATGAAGTGACACCTCTAAGAATATACTTACTCAAGTAACAAAAGCCACGAAACATTCAACTTCTCTTTTTTTTTTTTTTTTTTTTTTTTTTTTTCAGCCATACAACACATTCATCCCAAAGCTATCACTTGTCTTTTGACACGAATATTAACATTTGTGATGAAAGCACTTGGTTACTCTACAAGTCATAAACTCAAAGTGCTTTGCATGCTCATATTTTAAGTCACCGTTTGACATGAAAGTTGACATAAGTCTCATACCTAACCCCCAGTTACTAAGCAACTAGAAATATCGGAGTAAAAATTAACAAAGTCTTTTGTGTTGGCTTCTTTTTCTTCTCTGTTTTTTTTTTCTTCTTCTTCCTTTATGTGCTTTTTAGGTGCTACTAAGTCTTCTATCTACACTTCTCACTACAAACTTGTACTCAAGTGAAATATAATACTCATGAACTTAAACTTCATCACAATGATACTATTTTTCAAATATTGTATCTCTAAAATTCAAAGATTTTAGAAATTTTTGAATTTTCAACTCAAGAATATTCAATTCCTTAATACCAATTGGACCAACTCCTAAAAAAAACCCTAATTTCTAAAAAGGGAAAAATGTGTGTTATGCAAATATGAATGCAACTAATGTAAGAATGGACACCTAAAAGTTACTCACCCCTAAACTTAAATCAAACATTGTTCTCAATGTAAAATAAAAGTAAAAGAAAAGAAAAACTTCCCATGTTTTGCACTTAAAGACTTAAAATTTAAGTTCTAAAGTTGAGTTGTCTTCAATTAGAGGAGACTTTTAGCATGTGAATTTCCATAACCATGTTCCCCAAACTTGTTCAATGACATGGTTAAAATCAAAGAATAACAATTTATGCATTAACCTAGGCCATAAAGAGAAAAAAATAATAAAAAAATCTAAACTATTAAAATAAAAGACAAAGAAATAAAAGAAAAGAAAAATTTATACTTGGGTTGCCTCCCAACAGGCGCTTAATTTATAGTCATTAGTTAGATTTTCTACCACTCCAAGGTGGTTTTGGATTAGGTAGTTAGTTTCTACAAGTATGCTTTCCACTTCTCCAAGTTGTCCTTCAATCTCCAAGAATAAAGTGTTTACCTCTTCTTTTTGATTTGTCATTGTTGCACTAGGTAACTCACCTTGTATTTCTTTAGCAATTAAGTTGAGCGAATAACTTGATTGAACGTCTAGATTTTTATCCAAACATGTCTCCTCTTCTTGAGCTTGAAACCTTGATTGTGGCTTCAATATATCTTCATTATTCCATGAGGAGATTGGATAATTTATCCAATCAAAGTTGCATGTATTGAGATAAGAATTACACTACTAGTTATAAAAATCATAAGAAAAATTAATATGTTTGTTAGATGATTTAAAATAGCAATTAGAACTAAAATGCTCCAATTCACACCATCGACAAGTAATATTAAATTATTATATTATAACCTTCTTTAATTTGAACTTTTCAATGACTGCTTGAAATCGCTCAAGTTCATCATCATCAATTTCTACTTCCCAATTGATAGTTATTGCTTCAACTTGTGCCCTTAACTTTGGAGCAAGACATTGATAATTTATATAAGTGTTTATAACAACCCATCATAGTTAGACTTACAAAAACAAAAAAAAAAAAGAAAAAAAATCAAAGAAAAGAAATAAAAGAAAAGAAAACGTTCAAATTAAATCTAAAATTAACTAACTTCAATATTAATTAAATCAAGAATCCTTAGCATTGGTGCCAAAAAACTTGATGTGCTAAAATCATTCTAATAAGTGTACTAGTCGCTCTAAGTAATACAATAATAAGAAGAGTCGTAAACCTACTAGAATTGTGATTAACTAAATACCAAAATAATTAATCTAAATTTATTTGAGCAATCAAAAAGAAAGAAATTTTAATTAAAAATAATAAAAAAGTAACAATTGAAATAAAACTAATTAAGATATGAGGTACTAAGGTATTAACTTCACCATCATCAATCCATATAAATTCTGGAATAATATGTTTTCAAAACCAATTTATTGAGTGTTATTGCATGTGATGGTAGATTTTCCTAAATTAACTAGTTTTCTGAAGTCAAGTTAATTCTTTACTTGTTTATTAAATTAGTCATATACTATGTAATTTTAAACAAATTATTGAGTATTAAATTCTATAAAAACCTCTAGTTTAAATAGGGGGAGTTCTTATCTTTGTTCTCTTCTTTTATTACCACATGTGACACTAATTACATGTAACATATAGTTTATATTATTATTGGTCTAATTTATACAATTCCTTCCCAAGATCATGCATAAATCATTAAATTAATTAAAAGATTATCAAGCTTTCAATGCATTAAATTTAATAATATAAACTCATCATTTGAATAATTTTGATTGAAAGTATAAAAATAAAAGAATCTATATTAAATTGATTGGGTTACATCATAACCCTAATAAAATAAATTGGTTCATAACAAAATAATAAAACCTGAAATTATAATTATGAATATTTGAATATCGAACAATAATAAAAAGAATTTAAGGAAAAACAAAACTCAATTTAAGGAAATTGAAATACTTAATCTTCTATTATTGATATATCCTTTACCTTGATCTCCAAGAATGCCCAAAAAGGACTGCCACTAGCCTCCAAAACTCTCCCCAATTTTTAACTTGGATGAGTATTTATAAGATTTTAAAAACCTAATTAGAATAGCAATAGGACCCACACCAAAATAATAAATTAGACATGAATTTTCTAAAAATTGCGGGTCAACACCTTCAACTAGGTGCCACTACCTTCTGTTAAGTGTACATTGAAATCACCATGTCGGGTTTTTTTGCCTTCTAAGCAATTTCTGTTAATGGTAAAATGACAGTTCTAGTCCCTAACTTCTAAACTCCACACAACTTAATCTTCAACTTTCTGGTCTCTACAATTTGTTCCTAAAAATTATGATATCTTCCAATTAAGTTCTTTCTTACACAAAGAATAAAAATAATGTAAAATCAAGTAAAATCTTATAAAATTCACTCAAATATCAATAATATCAAGACAAAAACTTCACATTAATATGTATATAAATTTAACTTATCAACACCTATGAGGAATCTATATCCATAACCCATTAACACTAATTTCCAACCAAATTCCCCTGACAATCCAGGATCTTCATTTCCTTCGGAGGTTGAATATGGTGGAGGCAAAACCTCAAAGTTGTAATAGTCACATTTCCTTGATAGTGGCATTCCACATTGTCCTAAATTTCCGTCAAAAGAGTTGTTTTCAAATGTATCAAATTGTTGACCTTTTGGGATAGGTCCCATCAAATGGTTGTGAGACACATTAAAGACTTTTAGAAATTTGAGTTGCATCAACTCTGTGGGAATTCTTCTTGTGTGCTTGTTTTGAGAAAGGTCAAGTGCTTCAAGATTTGCGAGATATTCCAAGACAAGAGGGATTTGACCATCAAGAATGTTATTGGAAAAATTGAGCAGTTGAAGTCCTTCTAGGTTCCCAACTTCTTCTGGAATCTCTGCCTCGAATTTGTTGCAAGATAGATCAATGGCTGTGAAAGGCTCAAGGATCTTCCCATAGTCCAACTTGTTCCCTTTGTTTGTTGTTTTCATTGAAAAAGGAAACTATTAAGGAATGACGAAATGATTCACCATGACGTGGTGTTCATATACTTGCAAGTATGTTGTGCTCTCTTTATCAAGATTAACCATGGCATTCCATCTCATGAAGTAGTCTGTTGGTAAAGTGCCAACAAATACATTGTTAGAAAGGTTTAGAACTACATTCAACTGTTAAATATTAAAATATTAAGATACATAATTGTTGTAGAAGTTATACATTAATTTATAATAAATTAATATACATTTTAAATATTTTTTTATATTTATTAATTAAAAATTAATTTTAATTATGAATCAATATTATTATATGTAATAATTACTAAAAGGTATAATACAGTCAAATAGCATGTATCATGATTTTAAAATCTAGTTAACTAATTAAAATAATACACATATCATTAACATTAAAATTAATATTACTAGCCAATTGCTAATCTGCAGTAAATGCAAGTACATCTAAACTTGAATTAATTTTCTAAAGAGCTCTGGACTTGATTAAGAATGTCCAAGCCCAAGCAATTATAGGACTGAGCAATTCAATGCAAGCAAATTTCATGATGGCCCTCGGAAACAAATCTCAAGTACCCGTCATCTCTTTCTTTTTTTTTTTGAAAGGCGAAAGATAATTATTGATTTGGAGTACAGGGGGTACTCCGAACCCTTTACATGATTTAAAATAGGCCAGCTAATTAAGGAACCCCGCGTCTTGAAGTGGCGGGGCACTTCTTTAAGCTGCCTTAGATTTACAACAACCTTGTGCTTCTTAAACTACCTGGGACGGATTCAGGCAGCTTACTGGATTAAGGATCCAGTCTGATACGGTGAAGAGGCTTCCTCTCCTTTTGCCTTTGATCCATTTAAAAGACCTCACCTGGACCAGCTCCAATAGTCTACCGGACTCTACCTCTTTGCCTCTAAATAGCTTTTCATTTCTAGCTAACCATATGGACCAAATAACAGAGAACCAAATGCATTCCCAGCCCCTCCTCACCTCTTTGATATTGAATATGAAGGGGTGCTGTTCAAACACCCTCCCACAATCTCTATCTAACACCTGCTTACTACCCCACCACCTATAGCAACTGTTCCAAAGTCCCCACGCAATTTTGCAATGAATAAAGAGGTGATTGGAATCTTCACTTACTAAGCCGCATAGAATGCACTTACAATCTGCAATGTCTTGTATGATTCCCCTCTTCAACAGGTTCAACTTTGTTGGGATTTTATCTTGCAGCACTTGCCAGGCAAAAACAGAAATTTTGCTCGGGATGTACTCTTGCCATACTTTACTTAGTGCTGGTCTCTGCTGGACTCTCCTGTGATCCCTTGTCAGGGCCTGGTATGCTGATTTTGTTGTGTATATTCCTTCCTTGCTATGGATCCAGTCCCTCACATCTGATATTCCTCTTTCTATTTTGGTATCTTGGATTTCAGACTTGAGAGCCGCCTCCTGTTGTTCCTCCCAGCTGAACAGGTTTCTTCTCCACTTCAAGTCCCACTTCCATGAGTCATCCTGCCATTTTCCCATTTGGGATATCTTTTTATCTTTTCCTGCAGAAATTAGGTAGAGTCTGGGAAACTTGTTAGCAAGACTCACTCCCCCACACCACTCATCCCACCAAAAGCTCGTATCTTTCTCGTCCCCCACTCTAATTTCTAGACCGTCTGCAAGCCACCCTTTGTTGTTTTCTTCCACATCACTTAACTTACAAATATCCCTCCACCATGATGACCCATAATTGAAACCCTCCCTCAGCCAATTGTAACTTGGTTCCCCTACCCTCCCGTACTTCTCAACAATAACCTTGCCCCAGAGCCCTTTATCATGTCTCACTAGTCTCCCCCACCACTTGCCTAACAAGGCGAGGTTAAACTTCCTTAGATCCTTTACCCATCATCTCTTTCTCCGCAACGAGTCCTTCCCTAATTTCCTCAATGAGAAGTTCGTACTTTTTTCAAGCAACCCAGAGCGACTCATCTCAAGTCAAAGCCATTAGGGCCATAGTCCAAACCTTTGGATGGAGAGAAGCCGTGCCCATATTTGTAGACAATGAGTTTGGAGAAGGGGTTATACCTTCCTTATCTGACGCTTTAAAAGAGGTTAATGCTCGGATTCCTGACCGAAGCGTTATCTCTTTCGGGGCCACTGACGAGGAAATTGAAAGGGAGCTATTTAAGTTAATGTCAATGCAAAGTAGAGTGTTCATTGTTCATATGATCCCAGATCTTGGGTCTCGGGTTTTTGACAAAGCAACAGAGATTGGAATGATGTGTGAAGGATATGTTTGGATAATAACTGATGGGATGACTAATCATTGGAGTTTGATTCATCATTCTGATCATATGGATTCCATGCAGGGTGTGTTGGGTGTAAGGAATTATGTTCCAAAATCAAAACAGTTGGAGAAGTTTGAGGTAAGATTGAAAAGCAAATTTGTGCAAGATAATCCTAGTATGATGAATGCTGAATTAGACATTTTTGGATTATGAGCTTATGATGCTACATTTGCACTGGCCATGGCAGTGGAGAAGGTAATAGGCACTGCCAAATTCAACTTTGATACATCAAATCTTGAATCTTTTGGCTGGGTTTCTCAAAATGGTCCCAAACTCATCCAAGCTTTGTCAAGTACGAGATTTAAAGGCCTTAGTGGAGAATTTGGGTTTGTCAATGGGCAACTAGAGTCCCCAATTTTCCAGATTTTTAATGTAATTGGAAATGGTGAAAGGGGGATTGGGTTCTAGATGTCAAAGGATGGACTAGTTAAAAGACTGGACTCCACTTCTAATGCTAATCTTGGAACCATCAACTGGCCAGGGGATTCATATTCCATTCCTAAAGGCTGGGAGATTTCGATAAATGGGAGGAAGTTGAAGATTGGAGTGCTGGTGAGAAAGGGATTTAAGGAATATGTCAAGGTAACATGGGATCAAGAGACTAATTCAACTACTTTCACTGGTAGTTGCATAGATGTCTTCAGTGATGTGATGAAGGTAATGCCATAGCCCGTCCCCTACCAATTCTATCCCATTCAAATGGAAAAGGATGAAAGCGTCAATGATATAATCGATCAAGTCTTTTTTGGGGTTAGTAATTTGCCATCTGAGTTTATATTTAATTCACCATCTTTTAGTTAACAAGCCTACTTTGGATTTCTTAATTAATGATAACCTTGGTGTGCAGAAGTATGATGCGGTTGTGGGAGACATTACTATTGTGGCAAACAGGTCATTGTACGTTGACTTCACATTACCATTTATGGAGTCCGCAGTGGTGATAGTAGTGCCTATAAGAAATAATACAAACAAGAATACATGGGTGTTCTTAAAGCCTTTATCGAGCGACCTTTGGATCACCAGCTTTTGCTTCTTTGTCTTCATGGCATTTGTTATTTGGGTTCTGGAGCATAGAATCAATGAAGATTTCGGTGGCCCACCTTTACATCATGTTGGAACTAGCTTTTGTTTGGTTCTCTTTCTCGACCATGACTTTTGCACACCGTACTAATCCTAGCCTTTCATATACTTAAGCTTTTTGGGAAAAATAACAGAGTTGACGAGTTCGACTTAACTTAATTACACTTTTAGTTTCATACGTATATTAGCTAATTCTGTTTTTTCATTTTCAGGGGAGAGGGTGTTGAGCAATCCAGCTAGGATTGTGGTGATCATATGGTGCATTGTGGTATTCATTCTAACGCAAAGCTACACGGCCAACTTAACCTTTCTTTTAACAGTTCAACAGTTGCAACTAGCCGTGACTGACATAAATGAGTTATTGAAGAATGGGCAGAATGTTGGGTACCCACATCACTCTTTCATCGAGGAAATACTCCAAAGGTTGACATTTGATCGATCCAAGATGAAGAAATTTACTTCATTGGAAGTTCTTCATGAACTGTTTACTAAGGGAAGTATTGCAGCTGCTATTGACGAAATTCCTTACATGAACTTGTTTCTTACTAATAAAAGCCATTGCAAAAAGTACACACCCTGACAGAACCTACTTTTAAGACCGACGGCTTTGGATTTGTGAGTTCTCTTTCCTTCTTAGCCCTTTCATTGTTCTTAATCAAGTCGATTTAATCTCCAAAACAAATTTGTAATTAATAGGTCTTTCCAAGAGGTTCTCCCCTTGTAGCAGATGTTTCAAGAGCAATCCTTAATGTCACTGAAAGCTTTAGAATGGGGGATATTCAAAATGCATGGAAGAAACAAACCAATTGTCCTGATTCAAGCAGCTTGGATTCTACAAATAGCCTGAGTCTTGGAAGCTTTTGGGGCCTTTTCCTCATTGCCGGAGTGATCGGTGTATTAGCTCTTGTCTACTTTGCAGCGGAGTTTCTATATGAGCAAAGGGACGTGTTGCGCGCGTGTGACGCTGGAATTTCAATATGGAATAGAATTCTTCAAGTATTGCGAAACTTCGACCGGAGAGACCTGACCTCACATGCCTTCAGGCAGCGTGGATTAAGAGAGGAAGATAGCAATATTGAAATCATTCCAGTTAGAGGTGCTGTTGAAGCCCCTGTTGAGATCCCTGTTAGATCCCTGTTGAAGCCCTTGATGATATAAGTGGCGCAGCGACATTCGTGGAAATAGAAATTCATCATGCTAGCACAAACAGCTCATGAAAAAGCTTAGCTCAATAATAGTAACAACACTAGTGTGGTTTCTAATCTTTTATATGGGTTTTGACCCAAGTTAGACTTTTGTATCGGGCTGTGTTTGTATATTATGCATAATATATAATTGTAGTAGTTGCCATCTTCAGTAGGTATACATGTACTTCACATAAAATTAAAACATCTGCATCCAAGTTAAGAAATAAATTTTTTACTGGTTAAGTTACAAGTTCATTTACAATAGTTAATAGTTTATTGAGAAGGGTTAGAATATTAGTATTTATTTTAAAATAGTAACATTTATACTATATTAATATATTGATTGAGTTTTTAGCGCTTTGTTTTGTTGGTGGTTCTGGTTCGATCTGGTTTGATTTATGTTGGTTCGGTCTGATTTACTTTCTGTTGGTTCATTTTCTGCTAGTTTGTATTAAAGCAAAAGGACACCTGGTACAAATAGAACATTTGTTTCCTTAACAAGAGGACAGCTGGATTACATTTACTGCATCGAAGATTGACAGATGGCAAAAATTGTGCAGATTAATTCATGAAGTATGTGTTCAAACACAATTGCATAAAACACATCTGAATTCACAGGTGGCTTGGTAACTGTGTGTATCATTTAATTTTATGGATTAGGTTCAATCCTCTCTCTCTTAAAAATTGCCCTTAATCAAAAAAAAAAAAACACAATTGCATAAAGATTGATTTATCAGAATATTTATTTTTTGTATTCATACTTTATTTCTTTCTTTTTTTTTTTTACTTTATAATTTGTATAATCTTTACTCATTTCTTCAACCTATATATCCATAAATTATAAAGAATTCTCACAAATAATACACAAACTAGAGTATTTATTAAATAATTTAATTTGATAGAATTTTTTTAGTTATTATTTATATAA